AAATATAGATTTGCGCCTGAGAAAAAACCATGAATTGATCTTTCAATCTTCAACTACATTGAAACTCCCCGGCAAAAAAGGGATCCATCCTGTCAGTCACGTATCGTAAACCGTTAATGCCTAGCTCTTGCTACGCTCGGGCTCACGCTGTCGCTTGAAGTTTCTCAGAAACGCTTGGTAATGACGGACGAAAAAACCAAAACACCAATTGTTAACTTGAGTGTTCTGTATTGTTACATCAACATATAAATCAAGTATGACTAAGGTCTGTGAACAAATATTACAATAATAAATCATAAGATTACTTCTGATGGTTTGCTACTGACTTCTTTCTGAACAGCGACCGATGAGACGATGACTGTCGTATTGATGCCTCCGCGAAAATCGGGGAAGTTGATTTTGAGCAAACAACCAAGAATTGATCGTTCAATCTTCAACTCCATTGACACTCCCCGGCAAAATAGGGATCCAACCCCTTTTTTCCTTCACGACCAATACACGTTGACTTGGATGCCATTGCGAGAACCTGGGTCACACGGACAGAGCTGAAATGGAAAACAAACAGAAAAGCCAACACACCACAAGCATACCCACAGCACAATCTCACACATCAATGACGACCTGCGCCTCCAGACAGAGACCTCCTCTTGACATCTTCCAACACAATCGCCACTTGCTAGAATGACTCTTGCAGAATGCAACTTGACCATAGCACCACCTCATGATACTCTACGCACATCCCGCATCTACTCACTACCAATTACCACTGCAACCGCTTGTCACTCATTCTGCCTCAATTCTAGTAACGGTGACGCATGCGAGCCTCAGTCGTTCACACTCTTTCTCCCCGGCGTATGGGACCGCAGCTAACAATTATCTCCGTGTGCATTTCATTCTCAGCAATAGCCTAGCCTCCCCGGCGTATACGACCCATCTGCAGTCCTTAACATCAATCAATTCATTCATGGATGTAGAAGACTCGAAACAACTTCAGAAGTAATCACGACGAAAATTTTAACAAAATTATGCAATAACAACAAGGTACGAAAACAACAAGTAAACACAATGGATCCAAAAACACCAATTGATATGACACACCACACGTATATACAAACAGTACAAATAACCTCGCGGATCATGTCTTGGTGGAATTCCTTCGAAGAATTGCAGGACTTACACCAGTACGCCTACAACCCTTCTCAGGTTGACGATTGTAATTTGTGGAATGTCCGGACACAAACAGAATTACCAACAGCTAGATGATAAATGATACCAATTCAGTATATACAATATGAACATATGTACAAAATCACACACTGAGCACATTGGACTGCTCATTGATGCGCTACCCTTTGAAGAATTGTAGGACTTACAGCAGTACGCCTACAACCCTTCTCAGGTTGACGCCCTAGGTTGGAAAATCATCGCAGAGTTCATTTGCTGATTTCCTTCTATGAGCTATATCCTCAAATCTGAACGGTAACACGCTCATGCCATTGTATCGTAGAACATAGATGACGAACAAACACACGACGTATCTCATCAACCAAGCGTAGGCACAGAGTAATTTACACCAAAGATAATAACATTCAAATAGTAACTTGAAACTAGAAACGCCTTTATTCATGCAAGTCAATTTAACAATTACTCTCTCGCTTACACTTGGCTTATCCTCACTAAACTTACCATTGATCTTCGTCCCTTCAAACGAACTGATACTAGCATAGTCATTGCACAAGATACTTGAGTTGATGGGCGTCTGTTTCATTGTGGATGACAGCACCAACGACGACTGATTGATATCAGTTGATGAAGTTAGCGGTGATTCAGAAGCTGTTGTTTTTCGGCTTTCAGATTGTTGTCTAACTGCAAGATTACCACCACTGCTGTTTTTCACTACTAGTTCGGGTTTAGCACTATCATCTGATGATAGGTGGGCTACACGCTGATCAATTACACTGACTGTCTCACAAGTATCCATACCTTCTGCAACTGCATCTGCGTTCAATTCTAGTTCACGTTGTAGTTGTAAAGAACCTTTATTCAACTTAGCAGTAGTAGACATATCCCTCATTTCATCATGATCAACCAAAGACAACTGTGAAGTATCATGATCATTATCACAAATATTCAATTTACCATCATCTATCTGGTCGACTTCATCGTTTTGAAACTCTTTAATAACAGCAGTGGGTGATTTGGGTTCTTCCCCACAAATCCCTAAAAATTTTATACCTTCACTCTGACTAGTAATACCTTGTAAACTTATGGGGTCAGAAATGGACCCTGAAACTGTAACTCTCTTCTGTGGCATACTATTCAACAATGGCTTACCAGTTGCAACTACAGACTTCTTCACAACACCATTATCGTCACACAATTCGGAGTCAGATCTGGAGTTTACATTTAGCTTATCACTGAACTTGCTCACCGGTTCACAGTTCACTTCTGTATGCACTTCTTGCACACGTGTAAAACAAAACCGTGTTTGTCTTGCATCTTGTAACCTATCAGTTGAGGATGTACTACGAAACCTGTTACACTCACTGGGTCTATATGCATTACTGGACATCATGGAGCCTTCTCGATATCCACCTCTCTGAGGCCTATTCATCATCAATGATTGCGTTTTTCCCTCAAACTGCTCTATTCTAGGGGTTAGATTCAATATACTGGCAAACTCGCTCATAGATTGATTGACACTATTGTTTACCAGTTTCAGAATGTCGTCGAACTTTGGCTCGATACCCTCATCCTCCATACGGGAGCTTATCTTGACCCACTTTGTTTGCAGTCGAGTAGGTAGACGTCTTGCTATTACTTCTAGTATAAAACCCGAGTTGAGGTCACTCATGCAATTCATCGAAATCATTGCATTCTTGTAAATTAGCAAATTATCTAAAAACTCAGTGAGTTCCTGGGAGTCATCCTGTAATTGACCACCATTACCCTCAACAGCCTCGAATAATTTCCCTACAATCATCGGACTTAAGTACTTGTAATTATGCATCGTTGCATTTGTAGCATCTGCACACATCATTTTATACCCTAATTCCACATTTTTATCCGCATATATTGCTAATTGCCTGTAGAACTGGACATCTTAAATCTCTGACACTCTGAAACTCAACTTGCAGACACTGCTTATTCTGTTGAAGTATATAAACCCCATCCAAAATGCCAGTAATCTAACCTAAGCGCCTGACTCCTCTTTCTGCTTCAAAGTCTGGTGAAATAGTTGGGTCAAACAGAATCAGTAGGCCTGCTTGATGTAAGACCACTACACACAATAATCCGACAACTACACATAGGTCTGCCGCAGCAGACGCATTCGGTCCGGACATCATACATCATAAATTGGACATCACCTGCCTGAGCAGTAAACAACATAATGAATCGCGTACACAGTGATAGTACACAAAAATATCTAGGCCTCGTGGACACATGCAAAGCCTTTTGAGGCACAAGTCACAAGACGAACAATTTGACTCTTCTTACCAACTCAGTTTCTTGTTCTACACACAGCTGTGCAGATAAAATTGAAGAATTATTTTCTGTTATTAGTGACCAAAAGAGAAGATACCTGGTAATATTGATGGCTGTACTTCCCCTAAAAGCTGCCGCGAACCGCAGACCTGATAAATTACGTTGCTACTGAAGTACATCAACGTGTAATGCGCGAGAACATAATTTGGAACAACAACCATTAGGTCTCATCAGGATTGACTCTAATATACATAACTTTACAAATAAAAATTTAAATATAGACTATTCATGGTGGTTCATCTATAGGATAATAAGATGGTGAATATAAATTGCTTAATTGGTCATAATGGTAGTAATGATAACAATAATGATTTAATCAATAATCAGAATGAAAAATTGAGGTGATCTCTGATAACATGAATAACGAAAAACAGCATGATTAAACAGACAAATGTTCAGGTAGAAGCAGTTGATAAAGGCCAAGGAAAACAAATGAACCGATCAAGTAATGCTAGATTGTAAGGGCGGTAAATGAAATACGTTTTTAGCGAGGATGTGATAAGACTAAGTGATGATAAGAGAGGGTTGAAACACCTTGCGTATTATTTGCGAAGCGTAATGCCTCATTGAGAATATGCGATACATGCAGCTAGTCTGTGTTTCACCCATTGGGTCAGAAATTTGAGAAATGAGACAAAACAAACTGAGGGATTCTTAAAACTCGTACATAAAAAGAGATAGGATCGATCAGACTAATTGTTAACTATTTAGAGAGAATGTGATTTTGGCATTCTGTGTTTTAAGCAAAGATTACTTAAAACCAAAATCATAGTCGATTCAACGGCGTCTGGAACTCAGTCCGTCACATAAAATTGTAAAGCAGAGGAACGCCTTGTCGCAGGACTTTCACGAGCAAATTAACGTAGAAGTTTATGAAGGGCATGAAGTATACGGACGTGACTTCTTATCCCTCAACTCTGAGAGTGTTTGGTCTACTTAGACACCAGACATATTAAAACACCGAATTAACTGTCCAAATATACGAGATATATTTTGGGTCAGAATCGTAGTGTTATGGTGATTGCGTAGCCAGCTAAGGATGGTGCACGAATGACTTGACGTAACGAAACAACTTACTGAAGCCCCTCGGTGCTTGACCACGAATGCTCAGCCTAAAAATTAGATTTAAACAGTGAAAGTGAGCATCTGATGTTGAGTGAAGACTGAAGTAGGCCAATACTGTCCAAAAATATTTTACCGCCAAAAACTTCTGTCTTTTCATTCAAAAAATGGAACTCCAACGAACATAAAGTCTCGAGGATAAGTACACGTTTGGAAACCCTTATCTTCAGTATTCAGCGAACCGCAAACTAATTGACACCTAACTGTAAGCCGCTCTACTAAAACGTGAGGCATTTATTTCACTGGCTTTATAGCGCACTTGTCACACGACATGTGAAAACGAAAATAGGGTCAAGAAAATCAAGTGATTCACGCGGCTATTTGCAAAACTACCTGGCATTGATCATTGTCCTTGTCGCACAAGTGGATCACCTTGCCGAATTATTACCCGCCTCTTTCAGTCCTATTGGTCATATACATGGGGATACTTGATATCGTTAAGGATGAGGTAGGTTCCCGACCCATTTTTACCCGTATTCAAGATGCCAGCAAAGGATTTCGAAAATAGCTCAATAATAATTGTTCCAAAACCTGGTTAGACATAATTCCTAAGGTAATTTCAATTTCAGGTTTTTGTGTCAAGTTAAAGTCGAAGAAGAATGAAAAGGTTTTCGTGAACATATGTATTTCCGACAAAGTGGGTCAGGATTTTAACTTATATCTTCTAGGTTCCTGCCCCAAGAAGAATAACTGAAGATGAACTAAGAGAAATCCTTGATGATATTGAGAATTCCCCACCTTTCAAAGTCCCTATGTGTATAGGGGAGCCACACGCTGAAGTTGACTCAGGTACTGCGAATCAGTTACAGTTCATTGAAACTCGTTCCATCTATTAACTGTAACATGTCACTTATCCTTTTATATGGAGTCTTTCTACATAAACTAAGAAAAGTACACCTATATTTTTACCTGATTAAGGAAAAGTTGATATAATTGATTCAAGTGGCGAAAAGCTCTAAATCACTGATTGTATATAGTGGACAAGAAGACATTTCTTTCCAATACAGCGAGTAGTAGATGAGGTGAGGGAATAGAACAGCAACGGTAACATCTGATGCACATTGATGCTACTCAACCAACTTTCTCGTGTATACTTCAGGATCGAGGCATTTTCACAAAAAGTTCGGGCCTTGGAGTTAGTTTTTACCGGATGCGGTGAATTAATACTTCAGGACAACGGCAGTTAAAGTAGCATGAAAACCAAACTGTCACTTCAAACAAAGCCATTCTGACATTGACAATCAGTATGTTAAATGGCCAGATTAGGCTTCATCACAGCATCAAATATTTTAGTAATTGTTGTAGTTCTTGTTACTTTGGTCTCAGTTTGATAGTTATTGACAAATAAAGTCATTCACTGCAATACACTGAAGATGTGACACCATTATTCTGATTGCACATAGCCATGTGAGGAAAACCTCCAACCATTGGTTAGACCGTCGGTCCTAATTTTGCATTTCTCATTGGCACAAGATTTAATTAATAAAAGCTACTTGACACCTAATTTGTCAGTTGTCTTTGTTGAATTCTTCTCTGTCTTTATTCAGTTGAATATAGTTACATAAGATTTCAAAATGCAAGTGGTTTTTGATGACTTTGTCAAGTGTGCAAAGTTGATTTGCATTCTCTATGCTTCTGTACGTACATAAATTGTTCTAATTCATATTCTGTTATTTTTATAACGTTTCTCTGAGTAGTAGGTTTTATTGTAGTAGCAGCAGAAATCGGTATAAATGATTGCTGGCATTGGTTGCGATTAATTTGTGCATTTATGCATACAATGTTTTGAGTTATTACATGATCCCATCAAAGAAGTGTATTAGTGATTTTTTTTAAACTCGTAAGCATAGCGTAGAATGTCAGATTATACCCAGGTTATTTGGTGGAGTGAGTACGCGCTATATACATAGTATGTGAGACAAAGGAATAGTAACAACGAAGAACAATATAGTTTTATTGTATAAGTCACAAGAAGTGGAGGCATCTGCGCTATTGAGAATAATTTTGAGGCATGTCACCAATTGTCTCCAGCAATTGGTTTCACCGTCCCGAGGACCCGAACTAGCAAGTCTGCACATTCCTACGTGGCTTAAACTAACTATTGTGCATTTCATTGACTGATGAAGGCATGTTTTGGTTTAACCACCGCCGGCTAACTCTTTTCCGACCTGATCCATCTTATGTCAGCTAACATTGCCCATTGTCGAGGAAGGCGATGGATATGCATAAGTAACATATGTCCTAACCATCTCGTCAATTGATTTCCACTCCTTACCTAGAACTCGACGCCTAGACTCAATATTGCTCATCCTATTATACCACTTCACATGGGAGATAGAACGCAGGCACCTGTGATCAAAGACAGTCAGTCCTTTAATGTCTTCCAATCTCAATGGACAAATCTCATAGCCATAAGGGAGGACGGAGCGGACCACTGAGAAGTACACACGCCGTTTAGTCGATAGCCAACCGGATATCACACCTACGCCAGAGACGACGTAAGCTGGCATATGCAAAACGAGCCTTCTGTATCCGTGCTGAGATTTCGTCAGCGATCAACATGTTGGGGCTGGCTGATGCAACTTTCCAAATAAGTGAAGCGGTCAACGTCCTCTACCACTTCACTCCCTATTTCTAAGCTAGGAGTCAATGTATTACAGTTCTGTAACATTGTCTTACATTTGACAAGAGCGAATCGCATACCAAACATTCGAAGACTGCAGCTCAAGGTGTTCAGAAGACTGCATTTCGTCAGGGTCTTCACCTAGAACGACTATATCATCCGTATATGCTAAGTCAACGAGATTATTATCTAGTAACAAGTCAGTCCCTGAGTCTCTGAAGTGACTTAAGGTTAATTGCATTAGTACATCCATGATAAAATTGAATAGAAGTGGAAATAGTGAGCATCCCTGAGAGACACCACTAGTTTTCACCTTTTTAGATGACAACTCACCGTAAGCCCTCACCTGGCTACATGAGCTCACACACTTGTGTATACACACTTGTTCGGTCATATATATTTTTGCTCTCACACACTTGTGTGATATTGATTCTCCTTCTGTTTGGAAAATAGAAGTATCATCGCAAACCTAGTGGTCTTCTGATTTCCGTCTTTCTTGCGTCAGGACTATTAAATTCTCGACCAGTACATAACAAAGTCAATCCCTGAGTCGCTGAAGTCATTTAGGGTTAAGTCCATTAGTACATCTATGATGAAGTTGTATAGAAAAGGGGGTAATGGGCATCCTTGACGGACACCACTAGTCGTCACCAGTTCAGATGACAACTCACCGTAAGCCCTCACCTGGCTACATGAGTACGAGTAGAGTCCCTTAATCAGTGCAATGTATTTTCTCGACATTCCCTTTACAGCCAAGCATCTCCAGAGTACCTATTGGTCGACCGAATCGAATTCCGCCTTTAGGCCAAGGAATATAGTGATTGTTGGGCGCCGGTAAGAATGCCTATGTTCTAGAATCTGTCGGAGGGTGAAGATATGATCAATACACCCTCTTCCTGGCCTAAAGCCCGCCTGGTTCTCTCGTGTTTGTGCCTCCCGAGTACCACTTAGTCTACGCATTATTATTGAGCCTAGGACTTTAGATACTATATTAGTCAAGCTAATCCCTCTGTGATTATTACAGGAAGACTTGTCTCCTTTCTTGTATATGGGGATAATCAGTGACTTACACCAACCCGATGGGACTTCTTCTGATACCCAGACGCTGCCTAGAACCTCATTTAATGCAGACAGTAAACTTTCTCCACCGTACTTAAATACCTCTGGAGTCATTCCATCAGGTCCCGCTGATTTGCCTTGTTTCAGATCGGTGACAGCTTTAGTAACCTCAGTTAGGGAAGGAGGACCTGTGTCTATATCCTATTCAGGGAGGTGTTGGATGCTCGGCAGGTTGAGCGTGGCTGTGGGCCAATTAAACTGCTCTTCATAGTGCTCTTTCCAGCGTTTCAGTCGTCTATCCTGAGAGCTAATTATGGTGCCATTTTTCTCCGAGATTGTTTCACTTATGACTTGCCTTCTCCTACCCGTTTCCCTGATGAGTCTAAACAGTTGCCTAGTGTTGCCTATCGCCGATGCTTTTTCCATCTCTTTCGCCTTTGTTACCCACCACTGTTCACGGTCCTTGCGGAGACTTTTCGTAAGTTTCCTTTAGTGTAGCTTTCGCTCCTCATTGAATTCAGAGCTCACTGGAATAAGTCTTCTAGCATCAATCAGTTCGGATGAGGCGGTAGAGATCCAATGGTTTTTACCCACCTTTGGATTTACCTTATTCACAGCTTTTACAGCTGTATCTATGGCTGACTGAATATTCTCCCAAGCTTCTTCAGGGTGAGCACAGCTGTCGAACTCAGATATGTGTTTAGCTAGTTCTTCCTCGAATGGGGATTTAGCTTCCTGATGGAGCTGGGGACGTGATGAGTTTACCGCCAGCTGTTTTCTACGTCCGTTCAGTCGTAAGAACACCCGAGCGCGGACCAGTGCGTGATCGGTATCTACACACGTGTTCCAGAAGGAGCGACAATCTCCTACCGATCCACGCCAACGATAGCTTATTGCTATGTGGTCTATTTGTGTCCAGCGTTGGTTTGTTGAAAGGGGTCGCCAGGTCAAACAGTGTCTCTCCTTGTGTTTGAAGTTAGTGCTTACAAGAAACAAATGATTATCTGAACAGAACTGTAGGAGACGGTTACCGTTGTCAGTTCGCTGGCACGGGACTCCATAGGTGCCACCGACATCCTTCTCAGATTGACACAATTTCCCTACTTGAGCATTAAAGTCACCAGCTAGAACGACTATATCTGAGCGCTTAGCCTTTCGCAGCAAACTAGACAGCTTTTGGTAGAACTCATCCTTCGTTTCATCCGAACTGCAGTCAGTGGGGGCGTAGGTGGAGATTACGAAAAGGCATCGGCAAGCAGTGCAGTCCTTTCTCCTTTTTACTGATCCGTTCAGACGGACAGCACACATTCGGCTATCTACCGGGATCCAGTCAAGTAATGTCTTTTCTGCCCTAGTACTCAAAGCTATCCCTAAACCAGCTAATCCTCTTGAACTAGCTGTGGTATCTCCTGACACCCTCAATGTGAATTTTGCAGATTCAACCTGTTGGCCAGATGGGGTTAGGTGAATAACCACACTTGGGTCTTGTATGCGTGTTTCTGAAACACAACACACATCAATAGCTCGGGATGCCAGAGTCTTGGCTAGTGATGCTTGTTGTCCCGTTTGGCAAAGTGTCCTAACATTAAATGCTCCTATATGGAATTGGTGGCATGGCTTTAAGAGGCTGTCGGTGGTGGTTTTTTGGCTTCCGTCGTTTTTAGTGGACACAGAGTGGAGTGGAAGTGAAGGGCTATCAAGCAGAGTAGTTGCATCAGTGGAAGGAAGGCAAGATAATAGAGATGAAAATGAAGACAAAGATGAGTGAGGATTAGAGAGGTTTCGTGTGCAGGAAATCGAAGTATCGTACATAGAATCCAGTAGCACTATTGCTTGGAATATTTTTGGAGCAGTGTAGCTTTAATAACAGTATCATCTGATCGACCAGTTAGGTGTCGTATCTCTAATCATTCATTAGTAGCTAGTCATCATAAAATCACCGATTAGTGGGAACACTAACTATTGTTCTGCCACCGAAGGATCTGTTAATAAAACCCTTTAATTTTTAGCAACGTTTGAAGTATGCGTAAACCAAAGCAAAACCTGCAGCACTGCACTTTCAACATAGAACTTGGCATAAAAGTGCAGCAATTTAAGCTGTCACATTTCATAAATGCTTATTAAGGTAAAAAGAAATGCTAACATGATACGGCGAACAGGATTTTAGGGGAGAAAGAATAGTTGCACGGGAAGTAGTAAGAATTTAAGGAATGAATCTGTGAGGCAATGAGTCCCGACCATCTCCTTCGATGCAGCTTCATGATTCCACTGAGTGACTTTCCCTCCTTACCCCACACTAAGTCTAACATCAATATTAATTACATCTTTATACCACAATACGGAAGACAAAACGCTAAAAGCCAAGGGCAAAGGCAACTGGCTTCTTCAGTTCTATTTTAAACATCCGTGTCACAGTCATAAAGAAGAACAGTATGCATGCTATTTGATCCATAGCCGAGTTCCAAACCACCAGAAATGACACAAGTTGACAAATTTTATATGAGCCTTTTGTGTCCGTGCTGAAATTTTGTTAGCAATCAGTTCATTTTAACTTTCTAATCAATTTCCGTAGTCAACAAACTCAACCACTCCACCGCCAGCCTTTAAATTAAGAGTTGGTACACAGTACTACAGCCTCATTTTAAATTTGACAGTGGGGGATCGCATGTTAAACGTACTAAGGTTTCCTCCCAAGGTGTTAAGAAGATTGCATTTTGTAAATCCCCTTTACTTAGGAGGACATTATCATCCGCGTACTGTAGGTTGTTAAGACTGTACGTGTTAACAAATCTCTCCGTAGCTCACTAAATTCAATTATAGTCAATATAATTAATATATCTATGAAACTAAATAAAAGTGGGGAGTGTGGCGTCTTAGCGGACGCCGCCGGCTGTCATAATTTAAGATGAAAATCCCCTATAAACTCTTTCACGACTTCGCGAGTTCGGATAGGGTGCCTTGATGAATGTAGTATAATTCTTCGATATTCCTTTCGTGGAAAAACATCATCTTGGTTGACGGATTTGAATTCTGCCTTCAGGTCAGGAAGTGTGGCATTTGTTGGACGCTCTTAAGTATGCCTGTGTTCGAGAATCTGTCGAAGCGTGAAGATATGATCAGCAGTCTCGCTTTCTAGCCTGGAGCTTTTCTGGCTTCCCCGTGCTTGTTTCCTCGGAGCACCACTTAATCTCCCCATAACTACTGAACCCAAAATATTACATACTACATTAGGCAAGCTTATCCCCCTATGGTTATCAGAGGAAGACTTGTTTCCATTTTTAGAAAATCAATGATTTACACTAGTCGAACGAAACTATCTCTGATTCATGAAAATTACCTAGTATCTTACTCAACCAAGATAACAGTTTGTCGCCGACATCCTAAATACTTCTGGAGTCATTCCAGCAGGTCCTCGTGCTTTACCTGCTTTCAGGTTAGAGTCATCATTTGTAACCGCAGTCAGAGCTGTATGTTCTCCGCGGAGGATGTTACCAACTTGCATTTAAGCAGCCTTCAATCCTCTTATTTGTAGACAGCTGGAATCAGTCTTCTTGTATCTACCAGTTCGGATATGGTAACAAGAACCCATTGTCACATACTAACTTTTAGCTCCAAGTCTCATGTTTCAAATTGGTTCTGACCAGGAGCAGATAATTATCTGAACGAAAATAGTATACGACGGTCTCCGTTATCGCTTCGTCGGCATGTTACCCCATAGATGGTATCAATTTGCTCCAATCACTAGAACTGGTTCTCGAGTAAGTATCACTATATCTGAGGGTTTTGCTTTTAGAGGCTAAATAAACAGCTTCTGACAGCTCATCATTTTCTTAGTCCATTTGGACGTAAATGGAGATTATGAAGGCATCAACGAATGTCAAAATACTTATGTGTTCTTATAGCCCATTTTAATCAGACAACACATACGACTGTCCATCAGAAATGAGACGAATGGCGGTTTTTCTCTCTTATAAATCAATGTTATTTTTACACCAGCAAGTTGCAGAGAAGTAGCTGAAGAATTGCCCGACACCCGCAAGGTGAATTTCGTAGATTCATCCTGTTGGCTCAGCTGGGCTAAGTGAATTGCCACACTTGGATTTTGTATGACTGTCTCCAAAACAATGGATATGCAGAGTTCTGACTAGTGAGGCCGGCTCTCCTATTCGGCATTATACCCCTACCTTGGAAGCTACAAATTGAAGTTGGCAGCGTGGTCTTAGGAGACTGTTAGCAGGTTTTTTCCGGCACTAGTGGCCACGGGGTTAAGAGAAAGCAGAGAACCTACCTGTGAAATAGAGTTAACAGTAAAGGGGGAGTGATAATACGATGGCTGGTGACGACTAGAAAGGCTTTGTATGCCTATGGCAGTGCGTGGGCAATTATTAAATCCCGGCTGTCCACATAGTGAGAATTGATTTCTTCGTGAAATGTCCGATACAGAAGTATCACTGATGTTACATAGTCGCAGAGCCCAGTGGGCAGCTACTTGAGGCCATCCACATAGCTTGTTTAATGCAGTGTTTGGAGTTGTGTTCGTACGAAGACCTTACCAGTGGCTACAGACCACTGCAAAGTAAGTGAGGATGTACAACCTCTCCTAACCTCTTCATAGAGTGGAGAGTCAGCGTAGCTGGCTGTCCGGGGGAAACACCTTACTGGTGTCATATCCCTACTTCACTTACGAACTCCTAACATAGTGTGAGCAGCAGGTATCTGTCGAAGAGCAAATTCACCTGATAAAGAAGTATCCACAACGTATATTTTTCTCAAGCAAGTTGAAACTGTGAAGAGCTGGTAATGTATTATATTAATTTCGGCAAACGTTCGTCTTACAGTTAATCGATAGCAACACGGTTTTGTTCATCTAACCTTTGTTAGTATGTCCTAGTGGTTGAGTCGTTTTTTCCACAGCAGTACGGCACTTAACATCTGTAGTGTTTTAAATTTTGGTTGGAAATAGTAGCACCATATATATATATATATATATATATATATATATAAGTAATACAAGACTGAAATATCCGTCTGCAGTCTGTACACTTATCACGATGTGGTTCTATTCTTTTTCGTTGAAATGGCGAATTTCAATGCGAAATTCTGCACTGATATGTGAATCCTTTACTTATTCCATCCTAGTCAAGTTCCTGTTGACTGTAGTTTAGCGTCGATAGTTAATATTTTCGTCATCTCAATTAATGGACATTAAAATACTTTTTAGTGCTCTCTGCTTGCATGCATAGACTATGTTGCCATTTGTCTTATGTCTTCTTTTTTGTCTTGTTCTTATTTTCAGCTCAAAAAGGTTGTACTGCTTATGATGTCGCAATCAATCCAGAGTTTTATGAAAAAGTTAAATCATCAGAATTATTTGAAGCTTTTTTAATGACAGTGATTTTTGAAGGCTTAGAAAATAAGTATGGAATTGATCTTGAAAAAAGTAAACATCAATTTTTGAAAAGATCGACTATTTTTTTTCAATCGTTATTTTGTAGGCTGGATTGTTTTGAAAAATAAAAAATGTATGGGTAGACTTCAAGAACAATGTATTCGAACTTCTAGTCGTCCGGCTATCATAGAAATGGATAGTTCAGCGTAACATAAATAATTTTGTACATACGTAATTTTTTTATTATTAAAGATCGTGTAACCCGAAAGTGATTGAATTACCGGATCCACCTGTCAAAGGTGATACTCCGAAATACGAATTGGTCCAGGTCAACTACGACAACAGTGAAAAGTTACGGTATTTAATTGCACGTATAAGTTTACCAAAACTGGTAAGTCTTTACGGGTTAAATTTGAGTATGAGAATTTTGAGCAATAATTTATTCATTTGGTTTTAACACTGTCAAAATTGTTCGAATTGTGTTAGTAGCCAGCTTAACAGTTTCATTATATGACCATATTAATGCCTTAAGCTTGTGGGTAACATTCACACTTGCATGTAATTATCATTTTGTCGGATTAGTTTTTGTAAAGTTGTTTAAATTTATTCCGTGAAAATGTGGTGTTATTCTACTTCTGTAATCCGTCTCTCCCAAATATCAAGTGTTGTTACGGCTACCCATATGCTATATACTAATCTGATTATAAATGTGATCCAGCAGTTGATTTCAATAGAAAGTAGCTATACAGTTCTACTCTATGTTTGTATGTAATTCCATATTAATTTGTTTATTAGATTTATTACACAGTGAAACAGTATTGTCACTATGTGATGTATCTACCACAGTGCCCATGTTTTACACATACTTTATGTTTGTATGAACAGATACAGTTCAATGATAAATATACTAAACGCTTAACTAGTCGCTCATCTGTTTGAGTTATTGGGAGTGACTCATAGAAAATGGTTTGATTTCAACACAACAGAGGTTTTCATCAGATTCAGACTACTCAAAATTACAATGGTTATAAAAGAATGAGAGTAGCATACTTCGATGTACGAGTTTGGCATAGAAAGTGTTGTAAGTTAAAGCAGCACATGTGCATTTCAAATAATTAAACGAAGGGCAGGAGAAAACAGCAAACAGAAGAAATAATAAGTAGTGTTAACTTGTAAGATTATATAGTAGCTGAAGAAAACTATAGTTCATAAGACTGAGATTATCTCAACTTCTGTCTGTCTGTCTGGATTCAACATAGAACTTGGCACCGAAGTGCAGCAGTTCGAGTTGCCACGTTCCAAATAGCACACAGAGGTAGACCGACGTCTATGATTGGCTAATCCTTATAACTCAGCATTTGTATCATACTTTTTTTCCTTCATGTTCCCAGTGGAACATAGGGCCTCAAGCTAGTGGCTTCAAGTTTCTGTAGCAGTGTGGGGTTGCTGGCCTCATGTCCAACCTTTCGTCCTTACCAGCATTATTTCTGGCTTAGCAAGATAAAGGAGTGAGTCAGCCGGGGATTGAACCCCGGACCATGTGCATGGTCGGCGAGCGTCTTAACCGCTGTGCCACCGATGCAGTGTATCATACTTGTGATCAAAATAAATTGATGCACCTAGTCAATTAATAGTTTTAACTTCCAGCAGGATAGTTTCCTTCCTACGAATTTTATTTAATTCTTTAATCATTGTTTTATTACATGTCTGGATTTAATACAAAATAAATATTCGCCTTTTATTTATACTAAAATCTAAATTCAGTAATCAGACTTCAAATACTCTTCACAACATCCTATAGAATGTAGACAATTATCAAAAAACGTATTGACTAGATGGGAAAAGATCTTTTGTGGAATCTGTTTTTGGCCTTAAGAAAATCTCTGTCTCGTACCTCGGATTTTCGGGTTTGTAGGTCAGTTACGTGTTTCCTTGTAGAGTGAAGAGAATCCGTTTCATCCGTCTGGGTTTGTGAAGTTTTGTATTTGACAGTTACACTACTCATGCGAATTTGAGTAGTATACGGGGTTGCGTATTTAATTTTGTTAAATGCTCACACAAATCATCACTACCAAAATGCTAATCACCTCAGGGGTCATTTTTATAGGGTAACCTATCACAAATAAGTTTGTGAATAAGATAAATGCCAAGCTGAAGTTTCTAGATTTATTTTCTCCTGGTTTTTATTTATACTTAAGATACACGTGCATTTAAATGGTTTCTGAGAGCTGTTGACTGTTCTCATTGTCACTCTTCACTCACTCATCCTACGATATTTATTTCAGGTATGCTTTTTGTTAAATAAATAGACAATATTTACTAGACTGAATTTCCAATGTTGGAACTTGTCATGGCTCATAAGAGCAAACATATAGGTAGAGAAAATAAACATGGGAAACCATAATAAACAAAAATATAGTGGAGGAAGAATAATTCCAATAAGATTAATGCATCCTGCAGTTCATAAACATCGGCTGTGTCTATGAACGGTTTAGTGATGACTATTAAAGACACATTGAAGCCCACCCATTCTAGTCTAAATTATCTCAGAATCACCGAAAATACCCATTGAGTCATGAAGAAAATAAAGGACAAATTCAGCCAAGAAAATTTTCTCTATTGACGAAATCATCCTCAGAAGTTGTACAGTCGTATTTATATTTACCAAAAATTTATGTAGTCTATTACTCAATAATAGACCAGGTGATTTGAACCAGAGCAAGAACCCTATGACAGTGGAAGAACTTCATACGTTTCTTAAGTTTTCTGTTGAGGTTGCCAAAGCAAATACAAGATTCAGTTTTCTAAAAAGCTGGATTGATAGGAAAGAATATCCTAATCACTACTGGAAATGTCTTCGTCGCAATCATATCCACCCAAAATCGTCGCTTTTTGAAACATCATACACTGGATGTGAAGATGTAAACCTGAAATTCGCAAATAGTCTCAAAGTCGCTGACACTTATTCACGTTTTCCTGCCACACCAGAAAAATACGTCTTCAACTACTCTAGTATACCATTGACTTCTGTCCAATTGCAAGCCTTGTCGTTGGCTCCAAAATTCTGTGATATTTCGACAAATTCGAGTGACTTGGATATTAAAGTCCAGTTTGAAGCATTGATCCAACAGACAAATGACGTTCTCCCAGTGTCCAACAAACCATATGAACAATTCAAGTCTACAGCATGGAATAGCTGCCCTCAGTACATCAACACAAACCCAAATGTCGAAAGATTGATTTTAGCCGAGCACAGGAAGCAACTGCTTGATATTTTAAAGAATAAAGACTTGGTTCTGACCCGCACCAATAAAGTTACTGGCATTGTCCTGATGGATCGCCAAGACTACATCGATAAAATGTTATCGTCATGTTAGATGAGAACAAATTTTCAAAAGAAAGTAACCAGAAAGACCAAACGGAACAAATTAAAGGAGCGATAACACAAATGCTGAAGAAGATGAAGGACGAATCGATTATCAGCTCTGAATTATTTGAGCAAATATGACTCTCAGGTTTCGTGATTCCCCGTTTATATGGTCTGCCGAAAGTGTACAAAGAGAACGTACCACTACGTCCAATCTTGGATATGACAAATTCCCCATATCATGCTACTGCTAAATGGCTCGCAGACATCCTCCTACGTATCAGAAATAACCTCTGCAAGCATAGTGTTTCTGATTCATTCGAATCCGTCAATTCAATAAGTGGTGCTAGTGTATCCGGGAAGAAAATGATATCCATGAATGTTACGTCCCTTTTCACCAATGTTCCCCTCATTGAAACTATTTGCTTTATATACAAATTCATTGAGGTTAATAGTGTAGGCTTGTGTGTTCCTATCTACTACTTAAAAGAACTACTATTGGGGTGTACTTTAAATGTCCAGTTCAAGTTCAACAACACGCTTTATAGGCAAAAATGGAGTGGCAATGGGTCGTTTACTTGCAGACTGCTTCTCGGCAAGTCTGCAGAACAGTATGTTACGGCCTACTATCGATAGTTGCCATTTATACCAAAGATATATGGATGATACTTTCATCATATGTGACGACAATACCCACATCGAATTGATAACAGCTGCCATCATGCTATCCAGTTCACATCAAAATCAGAGATTAACTCGGAATTCTATTTTCTGGATGTTTTTCTAAAAAGGAGGTCTGATGGTTCTCTTCAAAGATCGATCTACAGGAGGCCAACATGGAATGGTCATTACGCAAATTTCCATCGTTGGGTCCCTTTGAGAAGAAAGAGAAATCTGATCCTATCCTTATCTTTAAGAATAAGGGGGATATGTTCCAGTGATGCAACCGATGGGGAACCGGGGCGACTCAGACAAGTCCTCATAGAGAATGGATATCCTCCAAGATTTATCGAGAAAAACATGAAGTTAAGGGAAAAGCCTGAAAGAATCCAGACGGTGCTGAAGAAACTGCTATTTATGAGTGTTGGATTTAAAGGTGACACCGCAGCTGAGATCCTGAGGAATCGCTTATGCAGATCACTGAGGAAAGCCTTCTTTATGGCTGGGCTACGTATCAATTTCTACAGCCGACAAATGATCAATGGATGTGTGAAGGATAAACTCCCGCTTTGGGTCACTTCAATGTGTGCTTATAAATTCACCTGCTCGCGTGGAGCTGGTTATATTGGCCGCAGAGAGTGCACACTTTCCAAACGCATCTCTGAACATTATTCGGCATGGTTAGCGTAAAACAATTCAAGACAATTACTAGTTCAATTCTCAAACATTTGGTGAACTCAATACACATATCTCCACCGAAATCGTCTTTCAAGATCATCTATGAGGTGACGTCGAATGGTACAAAGGGCGTCAGGTTTCGGCTTTTGTGTATGGCGGAGGCGCTGGCAATTCGTTCAGTCTCTTATTCCACCTTGGTCTCAACCTCTTCACTAGTCGTTCCCTGTAAAAAATTTTGATTTTTTCTTTTTTAATAAACAATTTTACTTTTTAGTTTGCTTTTACTTTAATAGTTAATTCACTCTTATCACTCTCATATGCTCCTTTTGTACATTTTCACACCCTCTTCACACTTGTTAAATTGACACTCGCCTACCTTTATTCTCACTCAATCGCAATTTAACCCTATCAAATTTCTAACTTAGTGCCATTGAGTACCACGTAATTTACAACTTTTAATTCTTTTCACTTCTAAAGCCACTTCTGAGTAATTATATCAGTTATATCACCCCGTATTACTCAATAATAGACGACTATATATTTTTCGTGAGTATATATACGACACTACAGTCTCTGAAGATGATTTCGTCGATAAAGAAAATTTTCTTCACTGAATTTGTCTTTTATTTTCATCATATCTCGGAATCCTTCAGAAATATTTACCATAAATGAACTGTTACAGTTTA